TTTTTTTCTCTCTTTTTCTTTCTAATCTTATGTTCAGATGGATTTTGTGACTGGAAAAATTTGTGAGCAATTGGCTCAATGTATGGATAGTCAGTTAATCACCAATGCAGCAGCCGATCTTGTAGCTCTACTGGTGACGCAATTTCCATCATCGGCTGACCTTGCTTCTCTATTTTTGAATGGACTTATGCATCACGTAAAGTCTGTGCTTAGTTTTAACGATTACGAGAAAATGTCGATTTGAAGATGTATCCGCTGGAATATCTATCGATGGTTCGGTCGCATCAATGTCTCCAAAAGTAGTTGTCAGTTCTTCAAAAACCTGCGCGACTCGCTACGTACACAGTTTCTAAATGCTGATGATGATGTATCGTGGCCACCTTATATGTGGGAATTCGAGGTAAGTGTTCCGACCTTCTTTCGTATCGCGTGGTAAGTTGTGCTTTTGAGGACTTCTCCTGCATTGATCCCCTTTGGAATTGTGATGAGTCAGAGGAAGTGACGTGGAAGGTAGACAGAGCGTTGGAAGCATATCTGAAGGTGTCAAATGATCTCCAGCAGCGATTCCATGAAGAGCTAGATGTAGACGATGCGGTTTGTCAATCAAAGCTTTTTTCCATTTTTGTGTCATTTTCGTTCCTTCGCTCGTTAGATAACTCAGTCAGTGTGAGTTGTAATTTCTTACACCACATCTCTGCTCCAAAGGTACTGTTAATACAAGAAGTCGATTTCGAGATTCTTAAAATCCACAATGAGAGCGCAAAAGCGGCAAAATTCAACGCTGGAGGGGGGAGTCAGCAGGCGTTGGGTTTCCAACCTATGAGTAGTATTCCATTATTCGGAACGATCTTCTTACTTCCGGCTTCAATTCACACGTTTGCGCTTGGCCGATGGCGAGGTTAGAGCGGCTAGCGAAGGGAGAAGATCGCTCCGAAAGCTGGCAAAATGGAAGACCTTCACGAGTGGAAGGCCCCGCCCACTTGCTGATTACCCTACTGCGTTAACGCCTTTTTTCGCCGTTTTCGCGCTCTCCATTGCGTATTTTCGGCTTCAGCTTAGCGAATAGCTTACTCACCAAGAAAAAAAATTCTAGATCGCAATAAATGAGAATGGTTTGCAGGAAGGGGGTGCTTGCGCCACATTTTGCAGATTTTTTCATGGCAGTTCTTGAATGATTCTATCATACTGGAGATTTCTTATATCTTTGCAGGTCATCCAAGCTGGTTTAAAATGGCACCTTCCTGATATTCGCCTTGAGGCCTTCCGCATATGGTTCAGTTGTATCAAAAGCTCATCGGAGCAGGACAGATATAATCATGACCTGGGTAATCTCATTTTTTATCCATTGTGTGCTTTGACAGAGTGTAGCGTTTCAGAAGATTTTATATTGAGAAACGGCCTAAGTTCCTTATCAAGTCTACGCAAAGCGGTGGCAACAGCTGCAGTATCCTGCAAAATGAGCGATGAAGGCAGGTCAGAGTGGATGGGACTACTTGACATTTTGAAGCAGCAAGCTGAAGTTGATGAGCAACAGGTAAATTTACGTCATCTCGAAAGCTAATTGATTTGTTGTATCTGAATCGCATTCAGCGGGGAGCCAGCTATCTTCCTGATGACGTAAATATACAAGAACTGTTACCGCTTCCACGCCCGGAGCAAGCCAAAGAGCGCCTAGAAGAATTTCTGCAGTTATCTGGATCCAAAGATCCAAAATCGTGTCCAAGTTTTCCAGATTTGTATGCAAATTTGGCTAAAGCCGGTCACGATCAGAGGGTTTTCGCTAGGCACGTAATTGTAAGTTGGCAATAACAACAAGTTTAAAGACTGGGAAATTTTCATTTCCAGGATCTCATCAACCTTATAAGATCTCACGAAGATGTGAATACCGCTGTTGCCGCCATCTCCGGAGCTGTGACCAGATGCCGTTTGAAGGTTTAATTCGTCTTGCTTTCTTCTCTTGTACTCAAATGAGTGAGGAGGGTCGTTTGCGAAGACGCTCGTATGCATTTGTCGTTTTCTAGGTAGTGGTAGATCATGGATGCACGGCTATCGAAGAGCTTCTTTCGCATGAACATCCGGAAAAACATTTCTTCTATCTTGTGGAATACACTTATTGTTGGGTCAGTAACTTTTTTACTTGTTTTTGATCTGTTTTCCATTTTTGCGGAGCCTTTTGTCAGTAACAACGTTAAACTTAATATTTAGGCTATGAACCAGCTGATTGACAAAAACGCTCAGTGTCGTACTTTAGCACTGTCTCGCATTTTATGGTCCACTTGCGAGAAGTCTAGGGATCTCATGAAGATTTTCTTTGAGGTTAGTCAGGAAGTTTTGATAACATAATTTTTTCAAAATTTGCTAAATCAGCACTTCGCGTCTTTCTTTTGGCGCTAAACTTAAACTTTAAAAAAGTTTGAACAGTCACAACTATTTGTTAAAGTGTTGTAGTCCTTGGCTTCTTTGGGTTGAACCGGACACAGTGGAATACTTAGCAG